TAGCTCAGTGGTAAAGCACTCCTGGGTTCAATCCCCAGTACAAAAAAAAAAAAAAAAAAAAAGTTATCCATACATGCTCAGGCTGTTTCCGGGCTCTCCATTCCATTCCATTGGTCTGTATCTGTCTTTATGCCAACACTGTATTACTTTGGTTACTCTAGCTTTGTGCAGACATGCTTAGAAATCAGGAAGTGTGACGCCTCCTGTTTTGTTCTTTCTCATGATTACTATGGATATTTGAGGTTTGGAGCAGCGGGGGTGTCTACTAGATTTGTTTTCTCTATCACTGAAAATGGCACAGAAATTTTGATAGGGGTTGCATTGAATCTGCATTGGATATGAACACAGGACATTTTCCTGCACATTTATATGATCTTCAGTTACTTTTTTCTATGTCTTATCATTTTCAGGGTATAGATCTTTCCACCTCCTTGGTTAAATTTATTCCTAAGTATTTTGTTATTTTTTTAATACTATGATAAATATGGTTGTTTTCTGTATTTCATTTTCAGATTGATCATCAGTGGTGAGAAGAAATGTCACTGGTTTTCATGTGGTGACTTTGTAGCCTACAACTTCATTGCTTTATTCTGTTTTTAATAGTCTTTACGGTTTTCTACATATAGAATGATGCCATTTGCAAAGAATATTTTACCTCCTTCCTTTTGATTGGATGTCTTTTATTCCTTTTCCTGATTGCTCTTGCTAATACTTCCCAATCCCCACTGAATGCAAGTGGTGAGATAGACATCCTTGACTTATACTGGATCTCAGAGGCAAAGCACATCATTTTTCCCCATTAATGATGATGTCAGTTGTGAACTTTTCACAAATAGTATTTAGTCTGTTGAGAAAATTTCCTTCTATAGTTATTTTTTGAGCAATTTATAATAAATGAATGTTAAACTTTGCCCCATCTGTTTTAATCTATAGAAATATATTGAAACTATCCTTGATTTTTATCATTCACTCTGTATATGAATTTGCTTGCATATGTGAAACTGATTAATTTGCATATGTGAAACCAGCATTGCATACCGGTGATAATCCCATTTGGTGATGTATAATCTTTTCTTATATTCACTTTGCTAATATTTTAGTGAGGATTTTTTGCATTCATCAGAGATATTGGTCTACAGTTTTTATTTGTTATCTTTGTCTAGCTTTGGTATCCGGTTGGTTGTGGTCTCCTAAAAATTAGTTTTCAAGTGTCTCTGATAGTTTAATTTTGGAGGGGTTTAAGAAAGATTGGTACTAATTCTTTGAAAGTTTGGTAAAAGTGTTTATAACTAATCTCTTGTGATTGTTTTTTAAAGCATGTGTTGTAATAACTCCTCTTTCTGTTTTCATTTACATGAGTCTTAGCTCCCTTTTTCTTAATCTAGCTATGGATTTGTCAATGTTGTTTGTTTTTGAAAATCAATTCTTGGTCTTGTTGATTTCTTTTCTATAATTTTTCTATTCTCTATATGATTTATTTCTGCCCGATCTTTAATACTTCCTCTCTCTGTTAATTCGGGGCTTAATTTGTTCTTTTTCTGGTTCCTTGAGGCATAAAGCTCAATCTTCCATTGAGATTTTTCTTTTTTCTTCATTCAGATGTTTATCATGATAAATTGCCCATTAGTATGGCTTCTGGCATATCCCATAAATTTTGATACATAGCATTTTCATTTTATTTGTCTTAAGATACTTTTTGGAAAGTTATGTCTTTGTTTTCATTAGTCTCCATATTTTTTAAAATTCTCTTCTCGTTTTTTCTGTCTTTGACTTGTGTTCAAGAGCTTGTTATTTAACTTCCACATGTTTTTGAATTTGCACATTTTCTGGCTGGTGTTGATTTCTAGTTGTATTTTTATTGTTGCCAGAAAAGATACTTGGTCTTCTTAAGTTTGTTAACACTTGTTTGGGGACCCAGCGTGAGGTCCCGGGAAATGTTCTGTGCATACTGGAGAATGTGCATTTTTCTGCTTTCATGTTCTGTAGCTGTCTAGGAAGTCCACCGGACCTATGATGTTGTTCATGTCCTCTTTTTTAATATTGATTTTATGTCTAGATGTTCTATCCGTTATGGAGAGAGGGGCATTAAAGTCTTTCCTAATTGTTGCAAGGTCGCCAATTTTTCTTTCCCAATCTGTCAATACCGGTTTCATATACTAGGTGCACTGATGTTGGGTGCTGATGTTGCTCTGTTGATTTGGCCCTTTTGTCATTATGTAAAGACCTTCTTTGTCTCTACCGACAGTTTTTTACTCAAGTTCACTTTGTCTGATGTAAGTGTAACCATCCCTGCTTTCTTTGGGTTTTAATTTGCATGAAATAGCTATTTTTATTCCTCACTTTCAGAATGTTTGCCTTTGGATCTAAAGTGAGTTTCTTGCAGTTGGCCAGGGCTGGATCTTTTTTGGGCCCTCTGTATTATTTTATTGGGTATTTTAGTCATTAACATTTAAATTAATTACTAATAGGGAAGGGTTTACTACTGCCATCTGTTAGCTGCTTCTGTTTTTCTTATAGTTCTTCTGTCCCTCTTTCTTTCTCTTGCTGCCTTCCTTTCTGTTTCATTGTGGGGTTTTTTTGTAGATTATTTTTCATTTGTTTCTTTTGCTCTTTTGAATAATTTCTATTGGTATGTGGTTAATTAGGGATTTACATAAACAGTATGATTTAAGCCAATCATAACTTAACCTAAGCAGCCTTCATCACCCCAACAAAAAACAATTAGCTATCTACAAATACAAGTAGCCCTGGGAGGGCTCAAGATGCCAATTAGGAACCTACTATAACACAATGGACCTAGACAAAGAGAATGGGGAGAAAATACAGTATGGGAAAGATTGCTTGGGAGCTCAGCTAACTAGAGACATCTGTAAATGACTAGAATCAAAGAAGTAGGCTATCTGTATGGGCCATGAGGCATGCTAACAGAGTACCCTATCACCTCCTCTTTAGAAGACCCACTTAGCATTTGCCACCAAGAAACTCAATAGCCCTGTGACAGCCGCAGATTCACTGCACATTTCAAGGTCACTGGAGGACCTTATGGTGTGAATTGGCACCAACTCCAGTGTCCTGCTCCAGTGTCAGCCACTGGCAGCACTGACTACCTAGGGATGGAGACACTACTCACCCCATGCCAAAGGAGGCACTGTTGCACAGGGAGGGAAGAAGGTGACCACCCTCCCTGCAACCCTGCACAAGCCTTGCACCCATGCCTTGGACACATACCTTGGTTATTCTGTGTTCATCCACAGACCCCCCAGCTCCAGTGCCACTCTACGTATACCTTCACTCCAACCCCTGGCTCTGTCACTGCTTTGTGTACACCTCTATCCAGACCAAGGCGTGGATGCCCCACAGGCACATGTACATCAGATGCCAGTATCACCACCAACGAGAAAAGGTTAAACTATCATAGCAAAGTACTACAGGGTAAATTCCAGAGTAATCAATAAGTCCCATGTAAAATTGCAAAGATTAAGCAGCAAAGACAAAATGAATGAATATGTTCATGATTTCAGGATAACATTTCAGAATTTATTTATTATAAAAATGGAATATCACAAGGCAAAAATTTGAATACATAATTCCATATGATACATACCTATGAATAAGTCTATAAAATCATTAATGAATTCTCAAAATATACTCTACAAATATTACAGGAATTGTTGACATACAATACAAAGACTTAAAGGTCAATCCTAAAATTTTAAAATGCCTTAGAAAAATACACCAAAAATTACAATGGCTATAAAATACATGAGAAGATCCATTTAATTAATAAACAGATGCAAGTGAGACAAATAGTTGTCATTGTAAAACCTTCAAATTAATGAAAGGGAGAGAGAGAGAATAGGAAGAAGGGAGGGAGAGAGGAGGAAGCAAGGAGAAAATAAAGAAAAAGAATGAGAAATGTATTTCTCATTCAAACGAGAAGGAGTGAAAATGTTGTTTTCTAACTGTGAATTTTGGAAACATTATGGTAAACATTCCCAAGGGTCACTCAACAGAGGAGAGGAAAAGAGATTATGAATGGAAACTTGAAAAATCATTAGGGTTCTTAGATATCTTTCAGTTATCCTCCAACTATTAGTTAAATGTCTATTACAGCAAAGCTCTATATATGGTTCTGGGAATATAACAAAACAAAACAAAAAAAAGCCAGTAAAGTTATTTGCTATAATCTTAATGAACTCGTTAGTTGAAAAAAATATGTACTCAGTATCTATAGCTAAGTACTAGGGATGGATTAGTGTACAAAACACACAAATACCTGCCCATTGAGAGCTTCCTCTAAGTGGTGAAATCTTACCTTCAGGAACTTGCTCTATCTTTGGGAGCAATAAAGAGAAGAGGGAGCAGGAGGAAGTAGTAAATATTTAAGTCATCTAATACTTCATCGTGCCGTTTCCTGTCATTTGCACCAGACCAGAAGCCCATTTCCTACTGCAATAAATGCCTTCTCACTACTTTGTTCAGAGCATCTTTCAGCTCCTTGTTTCTCATGCTGTAAATCAAAGGATTCAAGACAGGGGTGACAAAGGTGTAGACAACAGACACCACTCGGCCCATTTCTGGGTTGTAGCTGGAACTGGGGCGTAAGTAGATGAGGCTGCAGCAACCATACTGCAGAAGAACCACAGTCAGGTGAGAAGAGCAAGTGGAGAAGGCCTTGTTCCATCCCTCGGCCGAGCGGATCTTCAAAATGGCAGCAATGATGAAGATGTAGGAGATGGAGATCAGAGAAAAGGGGATGGTGAGGATGATGACACTGACGATGAAGATCATGGCTTCCTGCATCCGAGTATCCCCGCATGCCAACCTCAGGATGGGCAGCACATCACAGTAGAAGTGGGTGATTCTGTTGTGGCCACAAAATGGCAGATGGAAGATCAGAACTGTCAGTTGTAAAGCTAGAATGAAACCAAGGAGCAGAGCTCCCAAAGCCAGCTGGGCACACAGCTGCCGTCTCATGATGAGGGTGTAACGCAAGGGCTCCCGGATTGCTACAAACCGATCGTAAGCCATGATCCCCAAGAGGATACAGTCAGCACTACCCAGAAAAACAAAGAAGAACATCTGAGTGCCACAACCAGCGAAGGAGATGGGAATCCTCCCCATGGTCACGAGGTTGACCAAAGCCAGAGGGGCCACCGTGGAAGAGTAAAAGATCTCCAGCACTGCCAGGTTGGCCAGAAAAAAGTACATGGGAATGTGGAGCGAACGCTCAGCCCAGACAGTGAGAGAGATTGTGGCATTACCAAGGAGACTGCCAATGTACAACAGCAGGAACAGCACAAAAATAAACATCTGGACCTCCAGGATGGGCGAAAAGGGGTGGAAATGGAACTGGATCTCTCTAGTTTGGTTTTCATGCCCCATAAAAGTGGTCCATTGTATTTTCCAGGACAAGAGAAGACAAGTGATTTTAGGAAAGAAAGTGGCGTATCTTTAGGATGAAACTGAGGATACTGTTTCAACACCTGTGGTTCTAATAATTCTGAACATGAGCTTATTCAAGCTGGGCAGGCCACTTTCCTTCTTACTGGTGTTTGTCATTTCACATTTTCAAGACATTTGGCTGAAGTTAAATATAGAAGTCGTCACCGTGAAAAGGAGCCATGGTAATCTGTCCCATGTGGTATCCAAGCTCAGGACATTGTTATTTTGCAAAAAAAAAACCAGCTGAAATAATAACCTCTCAGCTTCTGAACTTACAAATGGCGCTGCAATACGGTCTTGATTCAATGACATATAGTATGTATAAGGGGCATACTCACAGAGTGCTTCATTTCATCCTGAAGAATTGTCTTCCCAGACAGAAAAGGTCAGCTGTGCCAGTTCATCAGGACCAAGGATAATGACTCCCTTACTGGCTTTTGGGTTTTCATAATCATCTAGGGGCTCTTTTAGTCCATTGGCCCATAAATGTCACCCCAATCTTCTCATAATTTTCATGCTACTATAACATACTATCACACATTGGATAACCTGTAAAAAAAAAATAATAACTTCATTTCTCACAGTTCTGAAGGCTGGTCAGTCCGATTTCATGGTGCTGGGCCTTAGCAAGGACCTTTCTGCTACATCATCCCAAAGTGAAAGGTGAGAAGATGAGGGGATGAGAAAGAGAGAGAGAAAGAGATTTTTTAAACAAACTCATCCATACAATAATAAAACCACTCCTATAATAACATTGATCCATCTGTAAGGAAAGAGCCCTCATGACTTAAATACCTCTTAAAAGTCCCACCTCTCAATTCCATTGCACTGGGGACTAAGTTTCAAATGCTTGAATTTGGGGGGATATGATTCAAACCATAGCGTTCTTATCCTAGATCCCAAAATTCACAGCTGTCTAACATGCAGAATATTTTTACTTAATCCTAATAGCCCCACAAGTTTTGACTCATTTCAGCATCAAAACTCCAGAATCTCTGTAAAGCAGTATGAAAATTCCTTAGAAAACTTAGAATGGAATGACCATTTGACCCAGGTATCCCAGGTTTATACCCAAAGGACTTAAAAACAGCATGGTACAGTGATGCGGCCACATTAATGTTTATAGCAGCACAATTCACAATAGCTAAAGTTTGGAACCAACCTAGATGTCCTTCATAGATGAATGGATAGATATACACAATGGAATATTACTCAGCATTAAAAGAGAATAAAATCATGGCATTTGCAGGGTAATGAATGGAGTTGGAGAATATCATGCTAAGTGAAGTAAGCCAATCCCCAAAAACAAAGGCCAAATGTTTTCTCTGATAAGTGGATGCTAATCCATAATGAGGGTGGATGGAGCATGGTAGGAATGGAGGAACTTTAGATAGGGCAAAGGGGAGGGAGGGGAAGGGAGGAGACATGGGGTAGGAAAGATGGTGGAATGAGATGGACATTATTATCCTAGGTATACGTATGAAGACACAAATGGTGTGACTCTACTTTGTGTACAATCAGAGAAATGAAAAATTGTGCTTCATTTATGTGTTATGAATTGAAATGCATTCTGCTGTCATGTATAACAAATTAGAACAACATCAAGAAGAAATGTCCAGAATCTCATCTAACTCAGGTATGGGTGAGAGCTCAAGGCAAATGTTCTACTAAGACAAATTCCCTACCAGCTCTAAAACTGTGAAATCAAAACCAGTTATAGGCCTCCAGAACACAGTGGTGGAACAGGCACAGGATAGAAATCCCCATTCCAAAAGGGAGAAAGGGACAAGAAGAAAAGAATAACAGCAAGTCCAAATCCTTCTTTTGCCAGATTTTCCAGCTCATGGCTCTTAAATTCTGCCCTGCACAAAGCTCTAGGGCACAGACCATTCCACCAAGTTCTCTGCAACTGTATAAAAAGGATTTGTCTTTACTTCAGCTTCCAACAGCTTATTCCTCGGTTCCACTTGACACCTCATCAGAATGGCCTTTCTGTAAGGGTCCGGCGAACGTCGGAGGAAGAGACCACCAAAAGACTGGCTCATGCAACAGCAAAAGGGGTTTATTGAGGATCCAATCCAGCACGCTGGGGCTCCATGCTCACTCAACAAGGGAGAGCGGCCCAGAGCCCCGAGCAGGGGCTGAGCACTGCTTAAGTACACTTTTTTAGGGAGGGCAGGAACTTTACATACATCACAGTCTCCTTTAACAAATCATCATACACCACGGGAAAATCAAACAACGATTCTTAAACATGATTAGTACATTCATTGGCGGGAACAGGTTGGGCGGGAGTGATAGGTCACTCCTAAGGGGGGGGGGGTACATTCAAACTGATTGGTTTGGGCCCTGAATGCCTACGTGCCAAGCTGCACAAGCTTCTAGGTTATTTATCTACTGGACAGTCCTGGGAATTGTTTTAACAGCTACAGGAATTTCAGGTTTTGGGTGTAGCATAGGAACTTAACAATACCTGGTGCTTTACATTTTAACTCAGGCTTTGAAGCTTAGAAACTTTACGATACCCGGTCTTTTACACTTTAACTTCAATTTCTTTTACTCTTACATTTCCTTGCCGTATTCCTACAAACCTTCTGACGAAAATCATTTCAGTAATCCCTAAGTTCCAGATCTTCCCTACAGTTCTTTCTTCTGATCCCCAAATGAAAATCCCCACTCACGACCATCAAGGCATTTTCTAGCCTGATTCTCCAAGTTCATCCAGCCTCTACCCAACAGGTAGTTCCAAAGCCCAATCCACATTTTCACAAATTGGTACTGAAAGGTGAGGTTGTTTATTATAGAAACAACCTCACCTTTCAGTACCAATTTTCTGACTTTGTTTTGTGTTACTATAATAAAAGAGCAAAACTTGGGAAATTCATAAAGATAAAGGATTTATTTCTTACATTTATGGAGGCTGGGGAATCCAATTTCAAGGTGTCCAGCACCTAGTGAGAGTCTTCTTGTGGCATCATCCCATGGTAGAAGATGAGAGAATGAAGGAGGGCGTGAGAGAGCAAGAGAGAGCAAAATTCAATTCTCTGACAAACCCACGTTCATGACACTGATGATGTACCCACACCTGCAATGATGGCTTCAGTCCATCCCCGAGGGCACAGCTGCATGAGCTAAACTCCTCTTGAAGTTCCCCCACCTCAACATGGTTGCACTGGAGATGAAGTTCCCAGGGTGAGATTTTAGGGTGACACATTCATACTGTAGACCCTTTGATAAACTTTCTCCATGCATCTAATCAAGAGTCAATGAGAGTATAACATATTGTATAATAGCCAACGCTATTTTTTAAATGCGCTATAAATGGAAAATCACGGTTCATTAGTTAGATATCCAACCACCAAAGAAATTAAATTACTAATTTTTTTAAAAAGAAAAAAATATGATAGTTGTATAAAGCATGAGCAATATATACTTTGAGCTTTGGAATGTTCACGGACATTCCTTCCCCATCATAACTGATCTCCGTGTACCTTTCTGATGTGGGCACTGACCTACTCAGGATCTGGCCACTAACAGACACCAGACACCAACTGTAGAGCTTTTCTGGGTTGTGGAAGGGACACTGGCTAGACTAGACCCTCACAGGGAAACTATAGAACTGAACATAGCCAGGGTCTTGTTTCAGAGCTTTGTCCCTTTCCCGTCCATGAACAAACATTCCCTCCTCCCAACAGCTCCATGTAGAAAGTCACTCAAAATCACATGTGTTTTGCTAATCACCGTTTGTTCTTGGATTAGGCTCATCCTCACACAAAGGAAGGTAAGATTTTTGCCTTAAAAGTAGAACTTGAAGATTCTTCAAAGACCCTCATTCCTAAAATTAATATTTTTCTGATAAAGTGAAAATGCCCCTGGCTTACATGTGTGCTAAGATGGGTGTGGGTTAAGAGAGGCAGTTAGATGCCAGCAGCTCAAGGACAGAACGTCATGGGCCATCTCATACTTTTGCAATGTGCTGAGGATCCATTATCTCATTTAGTTTTCCTAAGATTTCTGCAAGTAAGAAGACAGATATGAATATCTCCATTCATGGCCAAGACACGGAGAAGGTAATTGAGCCATTATCTCACAGTTATTTACAGGTAGAAGAGGCTAGCAGTTGGATCTCCTTATATCTGTCAGTGATCACACAATTCTTGGCTTTATTTTTGTCATAGGACCATGAAGCAGCTGTGGTCTCATCAGTGACATTCCCAGTGAACTCAGGACCAAGCAAAAAATCATTCCCCAGTTGAAGTTTTCGTGTGTGTGGAAGAATGACCTGAGTGATCTGGAGGACAGGACACAGATCTCCACCAGAACTCCTAGCTAATCCCCTGGGTCTACAAGGTTTCTATAGGGTTGGAGCTACTCTAAAATACTACTTATTCATATCAAAATCACATGGGTAGGGTTTGGCTTAAACAGTAAGGAGCTCAGAAATGTGCATATTAAAGCTGTGCTTCCAGGTGCCAAAGCACCAACCTCTGGATGCTGAAAACATCATCAGTCACACTGGTTGTCTTTCCGTTCATAATAACAGCCATAAAGTCGGTGGGGTTAAGGACCTGAATACTGGGGACCAACAGACCATCATCTGTCCCCACTACTTACCAGCCATGTGATGCTGACAATTTAATCTCTATGTGAACTCTGGTTTTCTCATCTTTGGAGTACAAAGATCATTGACATCTATGCCCCAAAGTTGTTGTAAAGATTAAATGAGACCATGATTACAAAATGATTTCTGATGTTAGAAAGTGTCCATTAATCTGTTACCATAACTGACTTCTTAAAAGCTGAACTCCTGGCCCAGTGTGTTCTTATTCTAACAGTGTATAATATGCTTGATGATCATGTTTTCCTGTTTTCAGGGCTCTGTGTACAATAACACACCTTGATGCCCTTGAATATCTCCGTAGGGCTAAGTATAAATATGT